AGGAAAACTAAGAGAATTTGTCTCCATCATACCTACCCTAAACAAAAAGAAAGCAATGAAAGAGGAAGCTTTGGAACATCTGTGTGCAGTAAAGAGATAACATAGCAGATCTGATAACTGCTATCCTTAGAAAGTCCTGCTTGAAAGATTATCTTTTAGCTGGCATCTGGGATCTTGGTTTTGGGAGGGTTCCTATCATTCGCAGAACTGTTAAGAATAGCTAACTGTGCCTAAACTATGTAAACAATGTGGTTTATGCTGAACACCTGCTTTCCTTCTGAGATCTGGACTTTTAGTATATGCTAGACCGAGGGTACCTGTGTGACTAGCCCCCACTAAAGACTTTGGGTATTGAGCTTCTCTAGTAGACAACATTTAACACATGTTGTCTCAAGTCATTGCTGAAGAAAGTAAGTGGATCATGTGTGACTTTGGTGGGAAAGGATTCTTGAAATTTTGTGTCTGGTTTCCTCCAGATTTTGTCGTTCGTACCATTTCCCTTTGCTGATTTTGCTTCGCATCCTTTCACTGTACTAATACAAGCCATGACTATAATTATATGATGAGGTTTATGAGTCCTTCTAGTGAATCTCAAGCCTGGGGATGGTCTTGGGGACCCCTGACACAATCAAGAAGAAAAAAAAATGGTAAGGAAACATGGATAAATGTATAATAGGCATTCCTATTCTACATGAATTTTTTAAACTTTTTGATGGTTGAAGCAAAAATTATTATACTGTCTGATGTGATTTTAAATGTATATAGAGGAACTATTTAAGAAAATTACATTATAAACAGAAAGGGCAAGGAGATGTAATGGGAGGTAAGGTTTTGTATAATAATTCAAACTAGTAAAATAATGATACCAGTAGATTGGGATAAGCTATATGTATGTAACATAGCACCTAGAACAACTACTAAGAAGAGTTATACAATGAGATACACTAAGAAACACTGTAGATAAATCAAAATAGAAGTCTAAAGAAGTTCAGGTAACCCAGAAGAAACCAGTAACAAGAAACAGGCAAAAAGCTGAGAGAACAAATAAAATTTAAATGGCAGACTTAAGCCTTAGCATTAATACTAACATTAAATTTACATGGTCTAAATATACCAACTAAAAAAGAGAAATTGGTGAATTTAAAAATAACCTGACCGAACTATATTCTGTCTACAAGAAACTCACTTCAACTATTACAGTGGAGGTAGGTTAAAAGTTAAAGAATAAAAAAGATAAATTATGCAAACATTAATCAAACGAAAGCAAGAGTAGCTCTTGCTTAATATTAGGCAAAGTAGACTTCAAAGCAAAGAAAATTAACATTCAGAAGGATATTGTATAATGATAGAAGGGTCAGTTTGCCAGGAAAAATAGTAATACTTACTCTGTATGTATCAAATAACAAAGCTTTTATACTGGGAGGGTCTGTTAGATGTAAAAAAAAAATTTTTTTTTTAATAAAAAAAATTTTAAAAAAGGAAAATGAAAAAAAATCTTCAAAATAATGTGAAGGGAAAATCAAAAGAGACATAGACAAATCCACAATTAGTTGGAGACTTCAACACCCACAAATAGACCAAAAATCAGTCAGAACTTATCAACGCCATCAACTAACAGGATCTAATAAACATTTATTAAAAATTCCACCCAACAAGAGCAGAATACATATTCTTTTCAAGTACACATGGAAACATACCAAGATAGACATATCCTGGGTCATAAAACAACATGAAACATAAAAATGTGTTTATCTTAAAATTTTTTGAATTTAAATCATACAAAGTTGTTCTCTAATCACAATGGAATCAAACTTGGTATCAATTAGAAAGATAACAGGAAAATTTCTAAACACTTGGAAAATAAACATGCACTTATTAATAGGTGGGAAAGGAAATCTTCAGGGAAATAAAACCGTGCATGAAAGTGAATGAGGATTTTAACACACTATTTCAAAACACACAAGGTTGAGCTAAAGCAGTGCTGAGAAGGAAACTTATAGCAGTATAATGTATACATTAGGAAAGAGGAAAAGTCTCAAGTCAACAATCAAAGAACCTTGAAAAAGAAGGGCAAAATAACTCTATGCAAATAATAGTGATAAAGGCAGAAATCAATGCAATTGAAAAACAAAAAGAGTAGAAAAAATAAATGAAGCAAAGAGCTGTTCTTTGAAAGCATCAATAAAATCGACAAACCTCTAGCAATACTAAGAAAAAGAGTACATACAAATTACAACATCAGGAATGAAACAAGGTGTATTACTACATACTCTGCAACCATCTAAAGGATACTAAGGGAACATTATAAACAACTCTACACCCATAAATTTGACAACTGAGATGAAATGGACTGACCTTGAAATACACATACTATTGTAACTTACCCAATATGAAATAAATTATTTGAATAGGTCTTTAACTATTAAAGAAGTCCAATTTGTGATTTAAAACACTTCCACAAAGGAAATGTATTAATATAAGCCCAGATGATTTTACTATGGAATTCTGCCAAATGTCTAAAGACTTTAAACCAAATGCTACACAGTTTCTTCTAGAATATAGGAAAGGAAGGAACACTTTTCAATTTACTTTATGGAGCAGGTATACACTGATACCAAATCAAACAAGGACAATGTGAAAAAAGAAAACTACAGGTCAACATCCTATATGAATATACACATGAAAATCCTTAGCAAAAATTAGCAAATATTTTAGCAATGTATAAAAATACAGTAACACAAGTGGGGTTTATTCCAGGGATGCAAGGCTAGTTCCATATCTGAAAATCAGTCAGTCTAATAATCCACCATATTAGTAGGCTAAAGAAGGAAAATCATAATTATATCAGTTGAAACAGTGAAAGAATTTGACAAAATTCAACAACCATTTGTAAACAAAGCAAAATAAACTCTCAAGACAGTGGGAACAGAGGAGAACCTTCTCTATAAAAATCTACAGCTATATTCAATTTTTTTATTGTGGTAATATATATATAACATTATTTTTTAAGTGTACAATTCAGTGGCATTAAGTACATTCACTTTGTTGTACAACCATCACTACTGTCATTTCCAGAACTTCTTCATTATCTCAAGTAGAAACTATATCCATTAGACAATGATTCCCCAGTCCCCTTTTCCACCAGTCCCTGGTAACCTCTATTTTACTTTCTTTTCTATTTTTTTGGTTTTTTTTTTTTTTTTTTTTAGAGAGAGGGTTTCACTCTGCTGCCCAGGCTGCAGTGGGGTGGCATGATCATAGCTCATTGCAGCCTTAAATTCCTGGGCTTAAGCAATCCTCCTGCCTCAGCCTCCTCAAGTAGCTGAGACTGCAGGCATGCACCACCATGACTGGCAAAATTTTAAACTTTTTTGTGGAAATGGGGTCTTGCTGTGTTGCCCAGGCTGGTCTCAAACCCCTGGCCTCTAGTGATCCTCCCACCTCAGCCTCCCAAAGTGCTGGGATTATATGTGTGAGCCACTGTGCCTGGCCCCTCTATTTTACTTTCTGTCTGTATTTGTCTATTCTGGGTACCTTACATAAGTGAAATCATACAGTATTTGCCCTTTTGTGACTGGCTTATTTCACTTGGCACAATATTTTCAAGGATTATCTCTTGAAAATATACCAGAATTTCCTTCCTTTTTAAGGCTGAAAAAATACTGCATTGTATGTGCATATCACACTTTCTTTATCCTTTCATCAGTTGATGGATAGCTGAGTGTTTACAGCTATTGTGAACAGTGCTGCTAATGAACATTGGACATGTATCTGTTTGAATCCCTGTTTTCAATTCTTTGGGGTATATACCTAGGAGTGCAATTGTTAGATCATATGGTAATTGTATCTTTAACTTTTTAAGGAACCACCAAACTGTTTCCTGTAGAAACTGCCCTATTTTACATTACTACTGGTAATGTACAAAATTCCAGTTTCTTCACACCCCACAAAAACTTGTTTTTCTTACTTTGTAACAGCTGTCCTAATGTTTGTGGAATATTATTCCTAATGGTGAAAGACTGAATATTTTCCTTCTAAATTGGGAACAAGCCAAGGATGTCTGCTTTCACCACTCTCATTCAACTTAGTGCTAGAAGTTCTAGCTAGAGCAATAAGACAAGAAAAGGAAATAAAAAGCACGCAAATCATTAACAAAGAAATAAGACTGTCCTTGTTTGCAAAGGAAATGAATGTCTATCTAGAAAAGGTCAAGGAACCTAGGGAAACAAACTTTTAGAGTTAGTAAGTAGGTTCAGCCAGGTTGCAGGATGCAAGATAAACATGTAAACAATTGTATCCTATAGCAGTGAATACATAGTCTCTGAGATTAAAATATAATACCATTAAAATTACTAAAAAAAAATGAAGAAATTCTTAGGTATAAATCTAACAAAATTTGTAGGATCTGTATGCTGAAAACCAAGAAATATTGATGAAAGAAATCATAGGATATCTAAATAAATGGAGAGACATGCTGTATTCATGGATTTGAAGATTCAGCATAGTAAAGATGTCAGTTCTCACCAAATTGATATACAGGTTTAATGGAAATCCTATCAAAATACCAGCAAGGTTTTTTTGGTAGATATAGACAAGATTATTATAAAATTTGTATAAAAAGGCATAGGCATAAACTATTTTAGAATCACTAAATCAACTGTTAAAATGAAGAATAAAGAGGGAGGAATCAGTCTACCTGATTTTATGTCTTACTATATAGCTGCAGTAATCAAACCTGTGTGTTTTTTTGACAACATCATAGACATAGATCAGTAGAACAGAATAGAGAACCGAGAAATAGATCCTGCATAAATGTATGAAGGGATTAATAGTTGTGAACATATAGAACCAGGGTTCAGGTTAAAAGCAGGATCTGTAAATCTCACCTGGATGCTCCAGGACTGCCTTCTTGCTGCCTTGGCCACAGTTAGTGGCTTAAGTTAAGTTGATTAGTGGGCATGGCTGGCTCTTGAGTGAGCAGGGATGTGTTTGTGTTACAGGCATTAATGGCCTTCCGGGATGTGGCTGTGGCCTTCACCCAGAAGGAGTGGAAGCTATTGAGTCCTGCTCAGAGGAACCTGTACAGGGAGGTAATGCTGGAGAACTACAGCCACCTGGTCTCGCTGGGTAAGGCCGGCCTGTTTTTGTCTAAGACTCTGCCTGCAGGCATCTTAAGCTTTTATGTAACAGCTGCCATGCTTCTGACTGAGAAAGAAAAAGTTCTTTCTCTATCCTCCAGAGAATGTCTCGATTTCATAGTGAAATTTTATGTGTGCATGTGTAGTGTGTGTGTGGTATCCAACACTGCATTTCTAGCACTCTTCTAGGCTGGGCCCTTCCTCTAAAGTTATCTTGCTTCAAATGGGGGAATATTTTTATTCACTCAAGCACAGGGTAGAATCAGTGTACTGTCTTTAGATCCAGGGGTTCCTCCCTTATTCGTCCTTTCTCAGCATTCAGACATCCTTTATGTCACCTCTGTGCTTCCCTACCACCTTCTGGGTTGATTGCATTCCCTGGGTTGGCTCTGAGTTCTGTGATAGCCTCTGAAACCACTAACCCAAGGTCACCTTGTTTTTTTTCCCTGTGAGTAGGAATTGCATTTTCCAAACCAAAACTCATCATACAACTGGAGCAAGGGGATGAGCCCTGGAGAGGGGAGAATGAATGTCTTCTGGACCTTTGTCCAGGTGAGTGGGAAGCCCTGGGCAGAGGGTGCAGGGCATTGAGAAGCTCAGCAGCTAAGGAAGGAAGGGCCGACTCTGAGGTGCTTGGAGGAAGCTCTTTTCCAGGCCTCCTAAGCCACTGGTAAAGGCTGTGCGGCGCTGCTTGCCTTCCATGCCACACACTTCCCCACAAGGGCACGTGCCTGGCATCCCACCTCTTTCCTCCCTCAGAGAGCCTCGCTCCTCTCACTGGGGTTCCCTTCTTGAGCACATTCAGCATTTCCCTGTTCTTTGGCTCTGTGGTCAGCCTGATCTTCAAAATGGCACCTGCCCTTTAAGACTAAGCCTCCTGCCCTTGCTAGATACTTTCCAGTTTCTGTTCTTCACCTGATAACTTTTTTTGTGTATCAGTTCTATCGCCAAAATTCCTGTAATATTGTTTCTTTTATGATGGATTATTTAAGCTTACAGCAAGGTATGAAGAATTGTACAATGAGTAGTGCTGTACAGCCCTACAGCCTAAGAGCACTTTAGAACATCAGGTGACAGCCCTATACTTTACCTGTTTGTGTCCTGCTCCTTCACTTCCAGTTTCCGAGTTCGCATTCCATGACTGCCTTTATCCTTTTGTTCCATCCTGTGGGTTCTTCCATCATATAAATCCTTGTGTTGCATGTTCATAAACTTCTCTGCACATAGTATTTTTGTTTCCAATTTTTGGCTATTAAACAATGTTGCCGTGTATTTTTGTATACCTCCTTGGGAACATGTACAAGAGTTTCTCGTAAAATACATACCTGGGAGTGTAGTAGCTGGTTCACAGGCATGCATAGCTTCAACTTGTTTAAATTATGCCAAATCGTGTTCTGAAGCAGTTATGCCAGTTTATGCTCCCAGCAGCAGTATATGAGAGTTCTTGTTCACATCCTCACCAACATTTGGTTTTGTCAGACCTCATTTTTTGCTCTATTTGGCATGAGGTGAAAGAAATCTCAAGGGGGGTTAAAGTTGCCTACCGGTGAGCATGAGCATCTTTTCACGTTGCCTGACCCTTGGGATTTCCGCTCCTGTGATTTGACTATTCAGGGTGTTTGCCTGCTTTTCAGTGGGGCTGTTTCTTTTTATTATTGCTTTGTAGAAATTCCATATAAGTTCTGGAAACATTTAGGTCTTTAATCCAACTGGAATTAATTTTACATGAACTTGTAAGATAAGGATAAATTCTTGCCTGATTTATCTTTTTAAATTTATTTTCAGTGTTCTGGCATTTTTATTTTTGTTTTATTATTTTTTGCTTCTAAATATAACTATATAGTTATAGTTTATAGCAAACTGAATGCTTTGTGTTTTTTACAAAGAATTTTATTATAAAGTTATATAAAAATGATATTAAAGTATAAGGTATTATTAAAGTATGATAAGAGATATTAATAGGTATCTTTTTAAGGTATAATAAACTACACATATTTAATGTGTGAGATTTGGTAAGTTTTGACATGCATGAAACCATTGCCATAACCAAAATAACAACCATATCTCTCATCCGCAAAAGTTCCTTGTGCCTCACTATAAACTCTACCTCCCACCCCTCCCAGCCCTCCTCTCTTCCCCTGTACCTAGGCAACCACTGAGCAGCTTTCTGTGATTAGATTTGTCTTTGTTTTCTAGAATTTATATAAATGGACTTAATAGAGAATACAATTGGATCCTTCGCTCAGCATAATTATTTTGAATTTTATCCATATATGTATATCAATAGTTCATTTATTTTTAATGCTAAGTAGTATTCCTTTATATGGCTGCATCACAATTTATTTGACCATTGACCTACTGAAAGACATTTAGGTTGTTTTCAGTTTTTGACAAATACAAATAAAGCTGTTTTGAACATACAAGTTTTTGTATGGACATAATGATTTTGTTTCTTTTGGATAAATACCTGGGAATGGAATGGCTGGATTGTATGATACAATGTATACTAAAGTTTTTAAGAAATTCACAAACTTTTCTAAAAGTGTCTGCACTACATTCCTAACCAGCCAGTGTGTGAGCTCCAGGTGCTCCATGTCTTTGTCAACACTTGGCTTGGTTATTATTTTAATTTTAGACGTTCTGATAGCTGCATAGTGAGTGGCATCTTACTGTGGTTTTAAATGACATTTTCTTAATGACTGATGAGTATCTTTTCATGTGCTTATTTGCCATCTACTATCTTCTTTAGATGTGTATCTTTTCACATATTTGGCCATTGTAAAAACTTGTTTCTTATATTTTTATCATTGAGTTTTGAAAATTCTTCATAGATTCTATATAGAAGTCCATTATCAGATATACGATTTACACATATTTTCTCTGTGGCTTGCTTTTTATTCTCTTGATGGTATCTTTGAAAGAGAAATTTTTAATTTTGGTGAAGTCCAGTTTTCAATATTTTCTCCTATGAATTGTACTTTTGGTGATATATTAAGAAATTTTAGTCTAAGTTAAGGTCAAAAAGATTTTCATTGTTTTTTCTTTTAGAAATTTTATAATTTTTAATTTACATTTAGATCTATGAACCGATTTTGAGTAAATTTTTGTACTTCATGAAAGATTTCGATTTAAGTTTTTTTTTTTTTTTTGGCAAACAAATACCCAATTTTTTCAGCACCATTTATTGAAAAGAATACCCTTTCTTTACTGAATTGCATATGTACCTGTGTGGAAAATCAGATGAACATATGTTTAAGGGTCTATATCTGGACTGTTTTTCCACTCCTCTTTTTATGTCTCTCTTAATACCAATAGGACATAGTTTTGATTACTGTAGCTTTATAACAGGTCTTAAACTCAATGTAATTCCTCCAACTGGCTCTTTTTTCCAGTTGTTTTAGTTATTTGTATTTCCATATAGATTTTAGAATCAGCTTGGCAATTTTTACAAAGAAAGCTTGCTGGGATTTTGATTTGGATGGAGTTTAATCTGTATTAATTTGTGGAGTACTTACATGTAAATAATACTGTATCTTTCAATATGTGAATACAGTATATCTCTCCATTTGTGTGAGACTTCTTTAATTTTTGTCACCATTGTTTTGTAGTTTTTAGTGTACAGGTCTTAAACATCTCTTGTCAGATTTATCTCTAAGTATTTCATATTTTGATGCTATTTAAATGCTGTTTTTTAAATTTCAGTTTTCAATTGTTTGCTGATGGTACATAGAAATATAATTGATTTATGTATAGTGATTTTATATCCTATAATCTTATGAAACTCACTTCTTAGGGCTAGTAACTTTAGTTTTACTTCTTTCTTTCCATTTAGTATGTCTTTAATTTCTTTTTCTTGCCTTATTACACAAGTGAAAGCAGCTAGTGCAGTGTTTAATTTAAATGGTGAAAGTGGACATCCTTTCCTTGTTCTTGATCTTATGACGAATATGGTCCTCTTAAGTATGATTTAAGTTTTTTTTATAGCTGCCCTTTACCAGCTTGACAGAGTTTTCTTCTGTTCCTTATTTGATGAGAGTTTTTTTTGGGAATGGATGTTGGATTTTGTCAAATTCTTTTTTGGCACCTTTTGAGATCATAGATTTTTTTTTCTATTTTAGTCTTTTAATAGGGTAAATTACACTTTTTTTGTTTTGTTTGTTTTGTTTTTTATTGTTAAACTAGCGTTGTATTTCTGGTAATATTGACCTTATTCAGATTTCATCAGTGTTACATTCACTTTGTTATGTGTATGTGTGTGTTTACATCTGTGCGATTTTATCACATGTACATTCTTGTAACCACCACCATATTCAAAGATACAGAACAGTATCATTATAAGGATGCCTTCTGCTACCTTTTTATAGCTACAGCCAACTGCCTCCCTCTTTTCCTCTGTTAACCTCTGGCAATCATTAATCTGTTCTTTGTCCCTATAATTTTGTCATTTCAAGAATATTGTGTAAAAGAAATGATGAGATTGCCTTTTTTTCAGTCAGCATAATTCCCTAGAGGCCCATCCAAGTTGTATGCATTAATGCTACTTTTATTGATGAGTGGTATTCCATGGTATGCATGTACCATAGTTTGTTAAACCATTCACCCACCGAAGGACATTCGGGTTGTTTTCACTTTTTGACTATTACAAATAAAGCTTCCAGGAACATTTGTATACAGGTTTTTGTATGAACATAAACTTTTCATTTCTCTGGGATATGTGCCTAAGAGTACAATTGCTGGGTCATATGGTAAACACATGTTTAGTTTTATAAACAAGTGTCAAACTCATTTCCAGAATGGCTATACTATTTTACATTAGCAACGTTTGAGTAATCCAGTTTCTCCACATCCTTGCCAGCATTTAGTATTATCACTGTTTTTTATTTTCGCCATTGTAACAGGTTTCTAGTGATACTGCCTTTGTTGGTAAGAGTGAGTTTAGTGCAAGCAGTTCCTCACTGGGAGATACGGATTGCTGGGCATATCTGAGTAAGTGTTCTATATCAAGGCCTTGCTCTTAGAAAAGACTAGAAGAGACTGATGTTCTGCCTGTAGGTAAGTAAAGAACTTATGAGGCCCTACTCATGGGTAGCTATAGCTATCATTTTGTGGGGGCTTCATTGATATATATATATCCTTAGCTTCTGCTTATTCTCGTCCGGAGGATCTGGATCTATCAGTGTAGTTGGCAGATGTGAATTTGTGTTAAGGTCTGATCTGACCACTGAGTTGTCCTGGCAAAGATGACCTGATAGGTGGTGAAAGGAAAGGGATAGATTCATGGGATGGTCTGGCAGGCAAGGACTCATGGACTCAGAGGTCCAGGTGTCCAATTGTGAATCTCCAGACACTGCAACTTAAGAGGGTCATTCCCTGGCAGTTCATGTTAGCAGTTGTGGGCCCCAAGAGAAATGGGTAGCATGCATTTCATTTATGCTTAGAGTTTATTTATATTTTTTTAGGTAGAACTTACAGGAAATGCAAAATGTTAAATGTACTGGTCTATAATTTAAACAAATGCATATATACCTCTACCACCTAGATCTTACCAAGATACAGATCATTACTGTCAACAGATAGTTCCCTCATCCCTACTCAGTAAACTCTGCCCCCATTAATCAGAGGTAACCACTGGTCTGCTTTTATTTTATCATAGATTAGTTTTGCCTATTTTAGA